GCTAATAAATAAACATCTTTGAGGCGCAAACTGAAATCACCACCTTGCTTTCAGCTTACGAAGCCAACATCGATTGCGTGCAAAAAGTACGATGACCTGGTCGACGCGGAAGACGATGAACAGGCCAAACGGTTTGACGTCCAGTATTCCGAAATGTTCAAAATCCTTGGCGAAGGAACCGGAATAGCCAATTTCTCTTACAAGAATATTAACAAGATCTATGATGTAACTCGTGAGGTGAGCTCACGGTTCCTTGTTCTTCAGTTTTCTGATCGGTACATGTCTGATATGGTTTTCTTTCAGTTAATTCACAATATGACTGCGAAACAACCGTCATGGGTGTTCAAATATTGGCCACAGTACAACAATAGGAAGTACCATGGACATCATCACTGAACTGCGTACGATACGCATGATCACTAAATTCAACTCCACTGAAAAAGCCAATGTACTGACCGGTTGCCACTGCTTTTTTTATTGGATCGTGATATTTCCTTTTATTGCTTTGAGAAAGCAGCTTGACCTTTCAATAATGGGAACCTAATGATAAGTGCCATTCGGAAAACATTATCCAATATATAAGCCATTGGCACAGAAAACACTTGTTCATGTGGGTATTCACGGAAGGGTTATGGGTGACCAGTGACATAGTTTAGATAAAATGATGAAGAGAGCTTCTCAAAGCAATGAGAACAATCTTTTTGCCAGTAGTTTTGACTTTGCATTGTACAAGTTTATGGCAGCGAATGTCGAAGCTCTGTGGAGAGAATCCGTCGTTCTCAGCGTTGAAAAAGCGAACCGCTACATACGATTTTCCTTGTCACACAATTCCAGCCGAGACCCTTTCAATATTCTCGCTGTTTCAGCTAATTGGTGGCTATTTGTTGAACAATTTCGTGAGTAATGCTATGAAGGTGGCGAATGGTTCTATGGAAAATCCGAAGAAAATGCTACTATACTCTTCGGTGAGTGCTTGCTGTGCTTTCGTGTCATGTCATGGTCTTGTGGACTCATCTTTGAGCGGAAAAACATTTCACTGCAATGGAAATTAGATCTAGCCAAAGTCGAAAAAGTGACTTCATGGCCTGAAATCTGTTAAAAAAGTTTTTGAATAACGAATAACTGAAAAGAATTAGTGTTACGACAGGTTCCGATACATATTTCTGCTAAATAAGTGGCAGCGGTTAAGAAAAAACTGAGGATGTTGGAGCCCACCTCGCTGCAATGGGATCGAAGCGCATTTGTGTAGAGGTTGCAAAGTGCATGAATCTCTTCTTCAATGGTGGCTCACGAATGGTAGGAATGCCGTGACATCAGATCTGCTTAAAGGAATCTTCCACGGAAAAAGCTCCGCCCTCATTACCACAGAAAACGATACCTTAAAGGAATCTTCCACGGAAAGAGTGATCATTTTGTCTTGTGTGTAGGATTAGTATTATCGAAACTAACGCTTATGTTCCGTTCTTTTTGCTATGCTCATGAGGCTAGGGGCCTAAGGGGTATCGTTTTTCTGTGGTAATGGAGGCGGAGCTTTTTCCGCGGAAGATTCCTTTAAACCCAAAAAACACCGAAATAACATAGGCTTCAGCATGGCTTATAACAAGTTCATAGGACTTTATGCTCGACTTTATGTTTGTTGGTGTACATCCTAATAAACGCGATCGTAATGCAATGATGCAATCAGAAAAAGTGTTTTCAACACACATATCCCGCTCTCCAGGACGATAAACGCTAAAGAAAAAGAAGAAAGGAAGCATTAGGTAGAAAGAAACTTTGCGCATCATCATTTTCGTTCTTTAAAATTCCCACATTCCATTACTTAAGTCTATTTCTAGCACGACGGCACGTTACTCGGTCTTATGTACGCAATGGGAGTGGGAAACAATCTTATGATACCATACGCTTCAGCAGTCATCATGGAGATATTCAAGGAAGGCAACGAATACCAAGTTGAGGTAAGCTTTCGAAAACGTGACTGCGTGACGTGAACGTGACGTGACTTCGTTCTGCAATATAACTTACGGGAGGAGGAGGTCAAAATTGGCCATTGTGTTCGTTTTAGTTGCTCTTCCGAAACGATACCACAAGAGCACCGTATCCGTTGACGATTCCCAATTGTGGTTCTCCTTGTACTGTGGACAGCATGGCTAAGCAGTACCACAGCATGCTTCTCAGCAGTTATGCTGATCAACAGAAGGTTTGTGTCATCTATAGATGTGAAGAAGATTAAAAAATGTCCTATTGCAATCCATAAATCCTATGTTGTCCGTTTGCTTGTCTATTTGTCTGTCTGATACGACTTTCGATAGTGCCTCAAGAATCAGGATCATGTTCGGCATGAGTAGAACATAGACATGACGTACAAGGCATGCACAAAGTAAGCGACAGAAAAATCCCCTTCTGGTTGGTTATGAACCGCCAAATTGGGAGTACGAAAAGCAGAAGTTCCTCGTTCGGCTCTGAAGGAAATCGCTTAAAGCTCAACAGTGGATTAATGGATTGTTCGAAGCAATTCCACAGCAAATTAATTATTAAATTAATTAAAAAAATTAAAGCAAATTATGGGCTAAATGAGCTCCCCTTACAACAGCAACTCATAACGAGATTCTACAACAATATAGAAACAAAAAATTTTGTTGAGAAGAGCGAGTTCTATACTAGACTAGGTGCACGACAATGAGGAGAACGCGCCACTAGTGGGCAAACTGTGTCATTATCGGCTGACCCCTCCGTCTTCTCTACTCCAATCCGGAATGTCAAAGGTCGGAAAAATTAACAGATCGGGAAAGATCATTTGGCCAACCCTGCCAATTTAAATGAGATCAGAGTGAATAATTATTGCCCACAATGCAGAATTAAATTGGAGAATGAGCTCCTTCTGTAGATGAAATCACTCTACGCGTCTTGGAACGCTGAGCTCAAATTTACCTTTCTTACCTGCTAACCACTTCTCTGAAAAGAATTGTGAAACAGAAGAGCGCAGCAGCATGGTCCTGACTCCCACATGAGAAGTCATGGGACCGACTGCTTGGAGTGCTTACCATTTCGCCATTGGCAGCAAAATAGTTAGGAACATTCCTCATTAATCCGGCGTGCTCACGTATGCTTCCAGCACAAAGAACTGAAGTGCATGTAATAACGAATTTGGGAGGCGTGTGCTACTGAATACTATATCCATGTAGCGCAAGCGCCAAGCATTTTTGCACCAAGTGTGATATTCGTAATCAAAAAGGTCGACTCCCCCTTTGAGCAAACTTCTAGCGAATTCTGAAATTTTCGACCTACCTCGAAAATTTGGGCAGTCACTTACTCACCTAATCCACCAATCCATTACAAAAGGCTGGCACTTGGGATAGAATAAAACTTTGAGCACGTTTTTCATAAAAGACGAAAATGGTGCCTGGCT